GGAGGAGGGATGGGGGAGGGGTCAGGAGGGGGAAGGGTTTGGGGTGGGGTGCCCCTAAGGGAACAATAGGAAGGGAGGAAGGTCCCTGAGGGTGAGTCAGGGGGTGGCCGGGCTTGGTCTTTGTCTGAAGTGGGGGCAGTAAATGGGGCGGAGGGAGGGGTCTGAGCACCCTCGTGTCTTGGGGGCATAGGAGTCTGGGGGGAGGAGGGATGGGGGAGGGGTCAGGAGGGGGAAGGGTTTGGGGTGGGGTGCCCCTAAGGGAACAATAGGAAGGGAGGAAGGTCCCTGAGGGTGAGTCAGGGGGTGGCCGGGCTTGGTCTTTGTCTGAAGTGGGGGCAGTAAATGGGGCGGAGGGAGGGGTCTGAGCACCCTCGTGTCTTGGGGGCATAGGAGTCTGGGGTGAAGGAGGATGTGGGGTGAAATGACAGCAAGCTGGGGCTCAGGGCAAGGGGAGAAAACAGCCTCAGTGCATGGTGAGGTGACTTGGCCAACTATGGGGAGGTGTATTTGAGGGTAAGGAGGAAATGTTTGGGTAAAATTGGGGGCACAGCAGGGTGAGAATGTCATCAGGGATGCCCTGAGTAAGGGTGAAATAAAATACAGGACTATGTAGCACTTTAAAGACTAACAAGATGGTTTATTAGTCTTTAAAGTGCTACATAGAGTCCTGTATTTTGTTTCAGCTACACCAGACTAACACGGCTATATGTCTATCACTGAGTAAGGGTTACTCTCATTTTAAAATGTGACCCTAAAGAGAAGATTGAGTAGAAAGAGGGGAGCTAAGAGCTGAACAAGGAGAGAGGAGAGGCAGCCTAGACAAAATGAGTGAGCTGAGGCAAGGGTGAGTGTTGGAGTATCTTATGGGAATGTCAGGAGTGATGATTCACTGAGTGGAAGTGAATTGTAGGCAGGGGTTTGGACATAAGGCCTACAGTGGGGAGAGGTGTGTAAAATTAAGAATCGTCCTTCATAGCCAGCTTTGCTGGTTATGGTTTATATGTTACAATCCCGTTTATTCCTGGTTGGAAGCATCCCATTCTGGAGCTGCTAGCCCTGTTGTGATCTGAGTCCATCTAAGCAAGCCCATGAGTCACATGGCTTTGTGCTCCCAGCAGACATGGCTTGGTAGCCTACTTGTACTTAGGACTTAACAGCCCATTGTTGGTGAGTCTCCATCTTTCCAAAGTTTGGGTTGGATGGAGACCAGATCCCTGTGTTTCTCTCCTCAGCGCCCTGGCATGTTGCCAGGCAGCCGCATGACACCTCAGGGACCCTCCATGGGTCCCCCAGGATATGGTGGGAGTCCCTCAGTCCGGCCTGGAATGGCCCAGTCTGGTTTGGATCAGTCCCGCAAGAGGCCAGCTCCTCAGCAAATCCAGCCAAGTAAGAGGCCAGATTTCTCACCTCATTATGAGGTTGATTTATCTTTTCTGTGACCACTTAGTGACTCCTCCTGAAGGACACCAAATTCCTTCACAAGTTCTATAATTATAATACCACCAAAATCCAGCCCTCTCTAAAGCAGAAGGCTGGAACAAACCAATTAACAGCACATTGCTGAATAGTTATTCAAAGTCAGGCAGATTTTGTCCAAAACACCAGTGCATCCACCCCACCGACCCTTACAAAAGTGCTAGGGAGACTCTCAATATCCATGTCAAGCAGACATAATCTAAGGTGGTTCAGAAAGAAAAATGCTCACGAGGAAAGCAGTATCTAAATTGAAATAGGCCACTTATGAACCTCCAGAAAATAGGGATCAAATCATACATTTTTGTCCATCATATCCAAAGAAACCCCTTTGGATGCTAGTGGGCCACATTACAAAAATGGACTGGCCAATATTCAGTAATTCGGATGCTTACCACTGATATCAGAGATCAGCACATTGCTTTGTTGTTTGGGTCATAACATCTGGGACTTCTGTGTGAGTATGTCTACACTCGCACCCTCTTTCAAGAGAGGGATATAAATGCAGCTGAGCAAAATAACCCTTATTCCTCCTACAACGAGGTTTACCAGTTATTTCGGAAGAAGGTTTTTCTTTCTAAATAACCGCGTCTACACAGCTTTTGTTGTTTTGAAATAGCACCATAACATTAATATGCAAATGAAGTGTGGGAAATTCACAGTGCTTCATTTGCAATTTTGCTCAGGTGCATTTGCATCCCTCTCTCAACAGAGGGTGCAAGTGTAGACATATTCTGTGTCCCTTGCTCCCAGCATACTCATGGACTTTCTTCTTTAATTGTTTTGGCTCAAACTGACTTAAACTTTTTGTGCAGCTACTTCGCTGGGTGATGGGAGCTTCAGATAATAATATTTTGCTCCTATTCAAGAGCAAGAGTTTTTATTACTTAACATATCAACAGTATTGCCTGGCTTAAAATACTTATCTGTTAAAAAATCCAGCTTAATATTTAATCAAACCCGAGAGTCATTTTGTGCCAAAATAAATATTTAACCGAACACCTCTCCAAACTCAGGGCAACCCCAGCTATCTATATCTGTTGGGATACTTCAAATAATAGGTGGTCTTGGTCTTGCAGGAGCTTCTGAGCTTCAGTCCTGCTTTGGCCTTGGGGAGGAAGGGATGGGTAAGGAAGGTGTCTGTATAGAGACTGATAGTCACAATAAACAGTCTTTGAAAGAGAGAACTGGACTGAGCCAGTTGTTATGGAGCAAGTACCCTCATAGCGGAGTCCCAAGACTGAGAATAAACCCACACCTGTGCTTCTTTTCTTGTGTTCTGGCTGTTTGAGAAACAAACTGGTTGCCCGCTTAATACATGTATCCTTCTTTAAACAGCGCTAAGAAAAAGAAAATGGCTGACAAGATTCTACCTCAGAGGGTGAGTGAGGGTTTTTATTCATGCTTCCTCTGCTGCTATAGTTCTATGTTGTAAGCAGTTTCGGGGGAGAGAAGCAGTGTTCTTGATTGGCTTGTACTTTGCTGTAGATTCGTGAACTGGTACCAGAGTCTCAGGCCTACATGGATCTGTTGGCATTTGAAAGGAAACTAGACCAGACGATTATGAGGAAACGTCTCGATATCCAGGAAGCCTTGAAACGACCCATTAAGGTAAAGGAAGATAGTGCTCAGGTTTCTCACTGGGGTGCTTAGAGAGCTACACCTGAATTGAGAACACAGGACTGACTTATATGGCATTTACACAAATACCTTCTTTCTTTTGTCATCTTTATATATACCATGCTTCTGTAAACTCCACTCCAATTCTTCTGATGAAGTGGGTTTTACCCATAAAAGCTTATGCCCTAATAAATATGTAAGTTTCTAAGGAACCTCAGGTCTCCTTGTTTTTATGACATTTGGGTGGGTCTGGAAAGACTCAGGAGTGTGATGTAGGTACAGAGGCAGCAGCTCAGGGGAACAGGTGGGAGCCAGTACACACGGGAAGCAACTCTCAAGCCAGTTCCCCGCACATATCTGCTCCTGTGGAGCTGCCTGCCCCCATGCACTGCTGCCTCTTCGTCAGAGGCAGCGGGAGGGGGGGCAGGCCCGGCTCTAAGCTCCCCGCCCCCACCACGTGTAAATGTGTAACTTAAAAAATCCAGCAGTTACACGTAAACACACAAATACACATTAGTTAACATCCCTAGTCGGTTGTTTGCCTGGCTTGCTCTCTGGCCTGGCACTCTGTTTTTCAGGTACAGGAGGTGAAAGTGAGTCCAGATTCTGTGGTTTCTTGGTTGTGGCTGTGGCTGGCTGAGCAGGTCTACTTGCTTCTACATTTTATTGTTAACATTTAGCTGATGCTTTTCCTCTTAGCAAAAGCGAAAGCTGCGCATTTTTATCTCTAACACCTTCAATCCAGCCAAGTCGGACGCGGAAGATGGTGAAGGGACTGTTGCCTCGTGGGAGCTCCGGGTGGAAGGGCGGCTGCTCGAGGACGTGAGTGTGAGGAACTAAGCCCCTCTGGGACGGGCAAAGGAGCAGCATTCATTCTCCAGATAAGATGAGCTGAATGGGTGTGGGAGCTAAACCCTGCTGGGTTGACCCCAAAGAAGATACTGTCAAATGTCTGGGGTTGTAGGTGAAGACCAGTTGTTTAGTGTCTAAGGATGGAAGTAGGGGCTTTCTGTCCTAGATGATCACAATGATCCTTTCTCTGAGTGTATCCTCCCTTGCTTGTATCTGCCCCAGGAGTCTGATGAGAAGGGGGAGAGGGTAAGAGGGCCAAATCAGTTGGCCACCCTATGAGGTATGAATCTCCAATAATAATATTTAGCTCTTCGTAGCTAAGAGGATTGATGTTGGGAGCAGATTTGTGACATTTGCCTTCCCTGCCTCTGGAACCAGACACACAGATTTCATATAACGGGGCTGTATGTTTGTTCCCCGCCCCAAAAGTCTCCAGTCTGCCACGAGGAATTGCTTCAAGACAGGGTTTTCAGACCACAAGGGAAGGGTCAGGGTTTATGGCTGGTAGTTTGGTTCCTTCTTGATTCTTGGGTCAGTAACTCAAGGGTAACTTTGGAACAGGGGTTCCAGGATTCTAATTGTCCTGTATTAATGTGACTGTTTGCCATGATCCTGGAAGAGGCCTTGAATCCGCCTCACAGGAAGCTAGTCAGACATGGCTCTTGTGCGACAGTTATTGGCAAGGGATTCCCAGGGGATGTCTGTTTTAGATGTAAAATCTTTTCCAGTACTTCCCAGTTTGTTGTGAACTGTCCTGTGCTCTTGGGCTTCTTTCCTTTCATGCTGATCTGGGTAACTCTTGAGGGATCTGTTTGCTCTAGCTTATGGGGCATAGCCTGCTGGACTGATTGCCAGGCAGATTGTGTGGAGAAGAACAGCTTTTGATACACCTAGGTTCCCTAGAAATACACAGGCACAACCCCTAGTGCAAGGGTGGGGAACCTTTTTTGCATCAGGGGCCGCTGACCCACAGAAAAATCAGTCAGGGGTTTCACACAAGTGCGAAACAAAAAAAAAAAACCCCATCCCTAACCAGCATAGATTTGTCAATGCTGGGGAGAGCCCCAAGCCTTAAGGGCCAGATCCAGGTAAGCCGGAGGCTTAGATTCCCCACCGCTGCCCTAGTGGAAAGGCAAATGGATGAATGACAGAGTTTATGGGGGGAAGGGATATAAGACAGCAAAGAGGCTAGGGTAACCAGCAAACATTCCATTGGCAACATGTGGGGGGTTTTAGAGGGAGGTCTGGGTTTAGTATCAGTAAATGGGAATCAAAGCATTCGTTTCCCATCAGTGCTATTGTATGTGACCAGTGTGCTGCACTACTGGCTGTGGCTGCCCTAACACTCCTTTTTATGCTGCCGCAGTCTGCTCTGTCCAAATATGATGCCACCAAACAGAAAAGGAAATTCTCCTCCTTCTTCAAATCGCTGGTGATCGAGCTGGACAAGGACCTGTATGGCCCAGACAATCACCTGGTGGAGGTGAGCTCTGCTTTGTTATACCCTATCCAAACGAAGTAACCTTGTCATTCTGGGAGCCCGGAGCTCTTGAGTGTTGAGCCCAGTTCAAGTACTGACTTGCTAGGAGCCCTTGGGCAAACTTCTTCATCTCCTAATGTAAGAATGGCCATTATGTGTCAGACCAAAGGTTCATCTAGCCTAGTACTGGTCTTCTGACAGCGACCTATGCCAAGTCCCCCGGAGGCAATGAACAGAACAGGTAATCCTCAGGTGATCCCTCTCCTGCCCTCCATTTTTAGCATCTAGCTAGGGGCCCCATCCCTGCTAATCCTGGCTAGTAGCAAGGAGTTCCACAGGTTGACTGTGCATTGTGTGAAAAAATATTTCCTTTGTTTGATTTAAATCCTACTGCCTGTTAATTTCATTTGGTGACCTCAAGTTCTTATAAAAACGAGGAGTCTGGTGGGATTCTGTGCAGGTGCATCTGACAAAGTAGTTTTTACCCACAAAAGCTCCTGCCCAAATAAATCACTGAGGGTATGTCTACACTACAGCACTAATTTGAACTAACTTAATTCGAATTAGTTAATTTGAACTAAGCTAATTCGAACTAGTGCCTCTAGACCTAAAAACTAGTTCGAATTAGCATTTTGCTAATTCGAACTAGCGTGTCCACATTGAGTGGACACTGAACCGAAGTTAAGGCTGGCCGGAAGCAGTGCCGGCAGGGCATCAGGTTAGGACTTAGAGCGTGGAGCTGCTGTCTCAGGCTAGCCGAGGGCTGTGCTTAAAGGGACCCGACCCCCACCCCGGACAGACAGTTCTCAGGGTTCCCCACTTGCTTGTCTACCTCGATGAGGGACAGCAAAGCAGTCCTGTCTTGGAGTGCCCTGAGTGCCCACACTCGGCACATCACAGCACTCGGCCATCAGCCCGGCTGCACTTGCCACAGGCTGCCATCCGGGGGGCGTCAATCAGGGGGCTGCAGGAGAGCTTCCACTCCGAGGAGCCCGCAGAGCCACCCCAGTCCTCCCCATCGGGGGCTCATACCCCAGTCCTCCCTCACCTCCTTCCACTTACCCTTCCGTAGCCCCCCTTCCTGATGTACAAAATAAAGGACACGTGTGTTTAAATAGAAACTGGGTGTGGGGGGATTAACCTCTGGGGAGACTGGAAAAAGGAGGTGGGAGAGGGGAAGAGAGAGGGTAGGAGAGGGGAGGGGGAAACCTGGGAGGAGGGAGCTGGAAGGGGGAAGCCAGGGGAAGAAGGAGGAGGGGACGTAGAAGACTATGGTACGCCAAATCTTCTGTACTGTGTACAGATGTGATCTCCTCACCCCAGAAAAGATGTTTTGGCCTTGGAAAGGGTTCTGAAAAGGGCATCTAAAATGATCAGGGGTTTGGAACAGGTCCCATAAGAAGAGAGGCTAAAGAGCCTGAGACTTTTCAGCTTAGAAAAGAGGAGACTGAGGGGGGATATAATAGAGGTCTATAAAATCATGAGTGGTGTGGAGAGCGTGCAGAAAGAAAAGTTCTTCATTAGTTCTCATAATATAAGGACTAGAGGACATCAAATGAAATGAATGGGTAGCAGGCTTCAAACTAATAAAAGAAAGTTCTTCTTCACAAAGCAAATAGTCAGCCTGTGGAACTCCTTGCCACGGGGGCTGTGAAGGCTAGAACTATAACAGAGTTTAAAGAGAAGTTAGATAAAGTCATGGAGGTTGGGTCCATGGAGTGGTATTAGCCAGGGGGTAGAAATGGTGACTCTGGCCTCTGTTTGTGGAAGGCTGGAGATGGATGGCACAAGACAAATGGCTTGGTCATTGTCTTCGGTCCATCCCCTCCGGGGTACCTGGTGCTGGGCTAGATGGATCTTTGGTCTGACCCAGTACGGCCATTCTTATGTTCTTATGTTCTAAGCTCAGGGCTCAGAATCAGGGGTATCACTGGACCACCTTGATTTTCATGCAAACCTGCTCCTGGGTTTGCATGTGGCCTTTGGTGGCCAGGCTGGCAGCTATCCTGCCCTAGACAGCCACTTTCCTGTGCCTAGTGCAGAGGTTGTGGACATTGGAGGCCTCCCCCCAAACTTGGATGAGGTCCACGGTCTCTGCTCTAGACCAAGCGGGCGCCCGCCTCTTGCGGCCCCGGGCAGGCTCCTGGGAGCTGCCAGACATGCATCTGACGAAGTGGGTCTTTGCCCACGAAAGCTTATGCTCCTACACTTCAGTTAGTCTATAAGGTGCCACAGGACTCCTCACCGCTTTTACTAATTTCTATAGCTACTATGAAATGGAGGTAGTGCTAACCTCCCTCGTGGAGGTTGAAACTTATTGGGTAAGATGATAACTTTTGGTTGTGCCCTTTCTGCTCCATTCTGATTCCTAAGAACAGCATCAGAATCCCTCAGCTTTGTACGATTAGTATATGTGAAGTTTTGGGCTAAAGATGCTCCTGTGTGAAGTGCAAAGTCACAGACCACGTGTGCTTGTCTCTTCTGTTCCCTGTACTTGGAGCAAGTTTGATAACCCTGGGAACGTAGCAGAGATGGATGGATAACCTGGGCATGCTGTTGGGAATCATTCATGATGAAGCCAATCAATGGTACGTGCTGCTTGCTTGCAGCACAGCTGGTATTTTGAGGAACACTTACATACTTATTTGAAAAAGGCTGAGAACACCTGTCTTAGCAAAGAGGCTAAGGCAAAGTTATTTGCAATCAGCTGTTTCTAGGTGTAGTGAATAATCGTTGCATCCAAGCCCGTTGTGTTTGGGGACAGCAACATGATCCACGCCAAATAAATGAAGCCCCTTTGCAGCCACTTGTGAGTTCACATTTCATCCGTCTCATTCTTTCCTGATGCACCAGGATAGTAATCTTTGACCTTTAAAACTGGTGAGCTGTGTGCTCCTCTGATGAACCCTCCTTGCACTATTCACCGCAGGAGTTCCAGCCTCCTTTCAGAGGTGTTGTCAGAGCTACCACAACTGTCTGTAGAGTGCAGGGGCACGTGGCAGAGCTCACATGCTGTCATATGGGCAGGATCTTTGGGGGGAGGAGTTTGTGTCATCCCTGAACTCCAATTACAGATAAGCGTTGTGCCTGCTAGGCAACAGGAGCAGAGGGAATGGCCTGGCAGTCTGTCTCTCTAAACCACCACCCCCTGCTTTTTTTTCCCCCCCCAGTGGCACAGAACTGCCACCACCCAGGAGACAGATGGCTTCCAGGTGAAGAGGCCTGGGGATGTGAATGTGCGTTGTACTGTCCTCCTGATGCTGGACTATCAGGTAGGAAGGGTAGGAAGGCTGGTGGGGAGCGAGCAGTGTCTTAACATCAGATTTGTGACTGGGATGAGCCCTGTCGGCAGCTGCCTCATCCTTACCCCCATCTCTGTTATGCTCTTGTCTCCTCAGCCTCCGCAGTTCAAACTTGACCCCCGCCTGGCTCGTCTCCTGGGGATTCATACCCAGACCCGACCAGTGATCATCCAGGCACTGTGGCAGTACATCAAGACCCACAAGCTACAGGACCCCCATGAGCGGGAGTATGTCATTTGCGACAAGTATCTCCAGCAGGTAAAGATGTCTCTAACGTAGGGTGGCTGGAGTGTTGTGTTTGGGACAGGGGACAACTTTGGCTCCTCTTTCCAGGAACCAGAAGTTCTCCAGGCTGCCCCTTTCCCAGTGCTGAGCAGCTTTCCACTCCACCCCCTCTTTCTCTTGCAGATATTTGAGTCCCCGCGAATGAAGTTCTCTGAGATCCCGCAAAGGCTGCATGCTTTGCTCATGCCCCCTGAACCAATCATCATTAACCATGTGATCAGGTGAGACTGGCCCCTGAGGTGCTGTTTGTTGGGAAGGGCGAATACGTGAGCTAGTGAGACTTGGATGGGGAGATGCTCCTTGTTGCAGTCAGTTTCGGTAGCAGCTGAAATTCCTGCTCTTCTCCATCTTTCCACGCGTCATTCTGCCCTGTGTGCATTCAACAGCTGCTTTTCCAGTTCACCAAGCACTGGTTCTGTAAATCCTTGCTTTGTTTCCTCCTGCCAACGCTCATCTCCACACTGCTTGTATTCTCGTGTTTGAACTCCAGCCCTTGCGCTGCCCTTCTAGACTGTAAGCTCCCTGTGCTGCATGCAGGATGTGTGCCAGGGAGGTGAAGCATTTCCCTGCTCCTCAGTGTTACTGACCCCTTTTGCCTGTTACAAAAAACTAAATGCAATGCAGAAGTCAATACTGTCTTCCCTACCCCTGTGTCAACCTCTGGAGCTCAGAGATGTTCAAACACTGACTCAGGCTTCTCGCTTTTTCTGGGTGTTCTTTTGCTGATGTTCACAGTGTTGACCCAAACGACCAGAAAAAAACCGCCTGCTATGACATCGATGTGGAAGTGGATGATACTCTTAAAACTCAGATGAATTCTTTCTTGCTGTCCACAGCCAGCCAGCAGGAAATCGCTGCCCTGGATAACAAGGTAGGAGCTGCGTCTTGCCCCCCCAACTATAAACTCTTATATTGTGTGCTGGGGTGAGCTTGGCTGGCGCTTTGTCGCAGGGCAGATCTTTCATGTGGCTTTCTTGAATACCGATACATCTAGTGACTTTATATTTGGGATCTGGAACAGTGAGAGCAACATTTCTGCCAGGCTAGCACCGTTTCTACGGTACCAAATCACATGGCAACAGTCTTTTTACTTACCCAGAAAATAAAGTTGAGAGTGAGTGATTAGAAGGAAACTGGGTTAGTGGTTAGAACAAGGGACTGGGAATTAGAATGCTAAATCCTCTTCCCGGATCATCTACGGAGAACTTGGGCAAGTCGCTTCATTCTGTGCCTCTGTCTCGCTACAGTGGAGTAAATGTGAAGCTGTGTCTTGGAGGGATTGTCAGGCTTCCTGGTAGTTACAGCCCTGTGAGATCTTTGGATGAATGGCACTGAATGAGCATGTCAGGGCGTTGGTGAACCTACTGCCCTGTCTCTACAGGCAGAGGGATGTGGGATGGGATGCATGTCACACATCTGGGTCAGCACGGAAATGTGAGAGTTTTCCATCCTAACATGTTGGGCCCTTTGGTTTGTCTTGCCTCTCTGTTGGGTTGGCTCTGTGCTCTGATTCAGCAATACCCCATTCCTGTATTTCTCTCAGATCCACGAGACAATAGAAACCATTAACCAGCTGAAAACACAACGGGAGTTCATGCTGAGCTTTGCCCGTGATCCCCAAGGCTTCATCAACGACTGGCTCCAGTCGCAGTGCCGAGATCTAAAGGTAAAAAGGTTTTGCCCTTTTGTGTGGAAGGTCAACAGAGGCTCAGTCCATCCACTCAGACTCTTCTTGTTCAGGGAGCAGCTGAGATCCATGCAGGGGCACAACGTGCAGGTCTGCAGCCACAGCAAGAATTGGAATTGAGCACCAGGATTTCAGTCTGACAGCATTGGCTGGGCCAGGTCTTGCTGGAGCCTGCGTGGGGAAAGTGCTTGTCGTTAGCCCAGGACATGGGGGAGGGTAATTGGGCAGCTTCATGACTCTGGGTTGTAAGCTGCTCTCTTGGTGCCTCCAGACCATGACTGATGTTGTTGGGAATCCAGAAGAGGAGCGTAGAGCTGAATTCTACTTCCAGCCCTGGGCCCAGGAAGCTGTCTGCAGATACTTCTACTCCAAGGTGAGCTTTCCCCTGGGAGGAGTGGGGGGGAGAGAATCCATCCACACCGGGCAGCCGCTGCGCTGCTTGCAGGGAGGTGCCGTAAGCTTAAGCTGGGCATAGCAGCCAGGCACATGGTTTCACCCACATAGCTCGGCTGATGCATTTCAGCCCTGATCTCCAATGCACCGTGGACCTGGATTTGCCATCCCAAGTCCTATTGCTTCAGATATGGTGATGCAATTTTTGGGGGTAGCTTTGTACTGTCACTAAACCAGGGATGGGGAACCTTCTTTGGGATGGCCGCTGATCCACTGAAAAATCATTCGGGGGTTGCACATAAGTGAGAAGCAAACAAAACACCCCTCACTGACGTGGCCCCCTGACCTGCAACTGAGGAGAAAGACACTCCCCACATTCCCCTTGCACACCAGCGCCTATGTGGAGCCCAGCCTAGTAGATTTTGTGTGCTCCAGTCCACTGGGGGGACAGCCGGGGGGGGAAGGAGGGGAGGGGAGGCGAGGTGAGGCAGGAGGCTGGAGTGCCAGCATGGGCTCCCCAGTGTTGCGGGGCCTGGGGCTTCTGGGCCTGAGGTTCCCCACCCCTGCACTAAACAGTCACCAGTGCTGGAAAGACCCCATCATACGATTTGCTGGCTTAGATCCAATTAGTATCAGTACCAGTGTCATGATACTAGTGTTAGCCCTTCCCACCATCTCACTGCCCGTACCTCCTTTATCACAAGCAGACCCATGGTCCTTGGGCTTGCTGAGGGTCCCTTGTGCAGTGTATCTGCCCCTCCCTGCTGGGATGCATGCTGGCTTGGCCGTTGCTTTCAGATCTCTGAACAGGAGCAGTCCACAGGGTGCTGCTGCAGACCTGACATGGGCCCTGTCAGAGAGCTGGTGCCACGCCCCAAAAATCCCCGGCATGAAACTGAAACTGCAACTGCCCCATCGCAGGCTTCTTGTTAAGCAAACCAAAAAGATTCTTTGCCCTTTTCTTAGCCCTTTGTGTCAGAGCCTGAAGAGCTGTGCCCATGCACTAGTTCCCTCAGAGCCCTGGAGGAGGGAGGCACTTCAAAATGGGGACGCCCAAGCACAAGTTATGTCCAAGCTCATGCAGGGAATTACTGGTAAAGCTGGCATTAGGACCCTGGCATCCTGACTCCATTGCCTTCCTCTAACCGCTAGGCAGTGCAGCCTTCTTGCTGTGCAGGGAGTGCATCTCCACTGGCCTGGGGAACAAACTGCCATCTGTGCACTCTGCTCCAGACAGGATTGAGGCAACAGGAAAGACACAGCCCGGCTAAGGAAGGAGTCCGGTGTCTTTCCTAGGGGCTGTGAATTGGTTTGGGCTCACGGTTCCTTCCCTCCCTCCAGGCCTGGAGCATTTGCTAGTGAAATTCTGACTTACCATGCCCTGTAAGTGTATTAAAGCAGGGGGGTCTGGCTTCTCCTTCACAGGTGCAGCAGAGACGGCAGGAGCTGGAGCAGGCACTGGGAATCCGCAACACATAAGCTGCCCCACTCTGCCCCTGACCAGAAGGCATCACAGCTATTTGTGGAGACTGAGAGCTGCAGGGGTCACTGTTTAGGCCCACACAACCCCCACTACGGCATAGAGACCTGCAGCCATCACTCACCTCTGGCGGTGTCCGTATCAGTGTGACTCCTGAGCCCCACGGGGCTTTTGGGATGTAGCAAGCAGACAGGCTCAAAGGGTCACACACTGCTACCTGCTTTCCTCCCTCACTGAGGCCTTGTCAGTCCCCAAGCCGACTGTCTCTGCGTTGCCCAATATCCAGTATTGCTGCAGGCTCAGAACTTCTCTTGAGTTCAGAACCTTACCACAGCCCCTTCTCCTCCAAAACTCGGCTCTAGTTCTTGCACCCCAGAGAACTTGGATCTGCCATGTGGACAGAGCCCCGGGGCCATTCACTTCTCAAGGTCCCCTGAGACACAGCAGACAGAGCTCCTACATGTTGGCACACGCTGTCCCCCTAGGGGGTGCTCTTGCATTGTCCCTTGTAGGACTCTCCTCTCCTGCAAGAGGGTTTCTATGCTGCGTGGAGAACTGCTTTTCCCATCCAGTCTCTGTCTTAGTTAAAGCTCCATTCCTGTTCCCTAGGCCTGGAGCACAAAAGAGACCCTGGCTCAGCATAGGAATGGAGGAGCTATGAAGAGGTGACTGCTGCATGCATAGTTCTCATGCAGGATTGAGCAGCAATGCAGTCTTGCTTGCTCTTCCTGCAGCAGGAAGTGGGGAATGCGCCCACCGCTGCTCCTTGCGGTGGGATTATGCAGGAGCAGAAAGCCTTAGGGTCATTTCTTGGAGGTGGCTGCTGATGATTCTGCATCTCTGCCTTTGGTGAAGTGAATGGCCCCTTGCATGGATGTGAGGAGGCAGCCTGGGCCTCTGCCGACAGCTCCTAACAAGTTAGCAGATGTCAAGGCTCCTCTGCTTTGTCGTCTTCCACGATTGGTCAGAGAGTAGGTTCTACAGCTGTCCCAGGGCAGATGATCGAGTATGTGCTGGGGGGGGTTCTCCAGCTGGGAGAGTAGCAGCTTAGATGCTGATTCATGGAATGAATTAGTGCCCTTAGCCCTCAGGGCCATGTGTGTGTGGCAGGCATGTTGGTGGGGGGGGGGGAGTGGCGGGGAGGGTGCACTCTTTACCTGGGGCTATATATTTCTGCTCAGATTCCTTTTGGGGACTGAAGTGAATGGGCTCTGAACCTAGTTGGTTGGGCTCTTCTGCCGTTAGCTGCAAAATCATGTTACTGACAAACAGCCTCACAGTATCCAGAAGTGTTGTTGAGGGGCTGCTATGAAATAAGGAGCCACTATAGCCTGTGTTTGTGTGTGAGAGAGAGAGAGCGAGCAACAATGTGTCTGCAAGTAATAGACTTTCCATCCTTCCCTCCCTTCTGTACCCTTAAAGAATTGCCCCTGTGTAGCACCAGGGGCTGAAGTCCTGGTCCCGGCTAATGCAGACCACCGGCTTCTCAGGGCAAGTAATAGTGAAGGATACTTGGATATTGCCTAGGCAAGTGTACCTGTTGCAGAATTACTGTTTTTATTAACTGATTATGGTTTTTCATGGACCAAAATTTTTTTTGTACTGTATCCTTGTAGATGTCAGTTTTAATAAAAGCCTCCTATGAAGGAAGCCACTCACCTCCTGTGCTGGCAAATGGTAACTTGCAGTTGTGTAGCAGGCAGCTCCTGGTACATCACTGCTGTGTAAGGGATGAAATGACCTCTTGTTTGTACCTGCAACCCCCTCACGTAGCGGGAGCTCTGTTCATTGGGGAGGGCATGCAGGAACACTAGACACCACTCCCTTTTAGGAGGAAGACAGCTTCTTTATGGTCCAAATTTTACTCCCTTTTAAAATGTGCAGAATTTAGAGGGTGCTTCATTATTTATAGGGCCCGACCAAATTCATGGCCATGAAAATCCTGTTACAGACTAGGAAATCTGGTCTTTTATGTGCTTTTATCTTATTCTATATAGATTTCATGCAAGGATGTAAAAATATATACAAATATTAACCATGTAACTGATAAAAATTATCACAGTTACACTGTTAACTGAGCCCAACTGGGCTGGAGAAATAGCCCCCTCCTCCTGCCCCCGCTCCTCTGCCTACTGAGAGACTGTGCCAGCTGGCCTGGGCACTGGTTACCCAGTTACCAATAACCATCACCCAGTAAGGGTGATGCTTACCGGGTAACTGTTTACCTATTTACATCCCTAATTTCATGAGACCAGCATTTCTCAAATTGTGGATCCTGACCCATAAGAGAGTTGCAGAAGGGTCACAAAGTTATTTTGAGGGGTAGGCCACCCTTACATGTTGCCCAGCTCTGAAAACAGCCCCGCCTCCAGGAGCCCCACACACATACAGAACTCCCTGCTGGGACAGGGTCCTTACAGTTACAGCACTGTGACAATTCAGATTTAAATAGCTGAAATAAATTTACAATTTTTAAAATCCTATGGCTGAAGTTGACCCAAATGGACTGAATTTAGTAAGGTCCTAATTACATTGACTTTTCTAAAACTACCTAAAAAGTCATGGATTTGGCATTAGACAAATAAGGTGGATGAGATAACATTGTTTATAGGACCACCTGTTAGAGAGAGAGACAAGCTTTTCGGCTTGTACAGAGCTCACATCTGGTCTCCAGAATTTATTTGGGCCACCAAAGGCTCTGAGTCTGCCACACCTAAATAAGAGCTCCCTGTAAGCTCAGAAATTCTCTCACCAATGGAAGTTATTCCAGTAAAAGCTTCCTTGTTTTGCTAATAGTCAGGGACCAGCACAACATACATGGATTTGGCATCTCTTCCTGTTGCTAGGAAATTGCAATTAACTCAAAGTGAGCAGTACAGCTTTGTATGAGAGGTGTTATGGTGAGTTAGAGACAATCCCTCATTCTTGTAAGGGAGCGCTCCTCCTGGCTCCACCTTGGGTAAATGGAAGTGTAGGAGGTTTGCTGTCTGTCTCCACAGCCACAAACATTGAATGGCAACAGGGGGATTAAAATAAAATTCTTGTGTCCAAGTTCTGCCCACAGCCCCCTTCCAGCAAAGTATAAATGTCTGCTGAAGTAAATGTAAGGGGGAGGGTGGTTTATGAGTGAGCAAGGGAAGTGAAAAGGTTTCCTCATTCTGTGCCTGGGACCTTGACTGCAAGATGCTTCACTTTGATAAAGACAAAATTATCGCCACACTTGAAACAACTATTTTATTATTTAGAAAAACATCCTGGCAGTGTTTGTCTCTGAGTCCTGTCTGCTCAGTTTGCAGATGTCTTGGTCATGGTGCAGCCTTTCCCCACTAATATAACCCATCTGCTTCCAGCCCTCCGGGGCCCCTGCCCCAAATAGCTCATCCCTAGCCTTGCACTACTTTTCAACCTTATTGATTCCCTTGCCTCATGGCAAGCATCTGACTCTGGGCTTTAAAACAAAATGTTCTGCCATATAAAGGCCTTTATTGTTCCTCTGCATCCCTAAGGCATTAGCTGATTCCAGGGCCAACGCTGGCCTTTGCTGTGCCCCATGCCACGCCAGGGACAACAGCACTAATGCTTGTCTGGCCAAAGCTTGCAATGGTGGGCTATGGGCAGTGAAGGGGGACATGTCCTTTGTCTCCACTGCCCCTCGTCCCCCCTTTTTCCTGACCCCCCCCCCCCCCCCCCACCACCGGCAGCCCGCGGGAGGGGGCGTG